GGGGGGGGGGTTTCTCACTATCTTCTAGAAGCTCCCTAAAATAGTGATGAACACAATCAGGTCATGACTGACAGCCACCCTCTCACCCTGCACCACTCCACTCAATAGGTGGGATCATTTCCATCATGTCTCATGAAGCAAAACTTGCCTTTCAAATCTAGAAGCTTCCCTAGCAAGTGCTAAGCTTTCATGAATTCTGTATCCGAGGCTGGTGTATTGCTGGTAAAAACCAGACCTGCCCTTGCTGCAAAGAGGAGGTTGATTTGAAGAGGATGATCAGTAACCCGTATCCTTTTTTAAAAAAAACAAGTTACGAAATATTATCTTAAATGTTTCTGGTGATACATTTTTCAGTCTAAACTTTCATTATCTTCGTTGTAGTTATAACAGAAAACTTTCTGTTTTCCCTAACCACCTATTTCTTCAAAACCACTTACTGGTCTCTTTTCTCCCGTGCCTGTTATTGTTCTGGTTAGGAACTCAAGTGACAAAAGAGACACATTCTACCCTTCATATTCCATATGTTCCACTATAAGGGCTTTAGTGGAAATGTGATGGGACATTGCAAAAGATGGGTGAATATATGGAAGGATTAGATAGATAGATAAATAGAGAGAGAGAGAGATGAATGATAAGTAATGGGTGGGTGAGATGGGTAGGTGGGCAGATAAACAGGTAGGTTGGAATTTAAATTTTAAAAGCCCCCAAATGTGAACTGGAGTGTAGGAGAGTATTTTTAAGGTGTACCAATTTTATTATTTCCAGAAATGAGTAGGGCTTTCCCCCCTAGATTTTGACTTTTTAAATTCCTTGCCATGCCCTCATCTTTTCTTAGGCTAAACCCTAGTGATAATAATTTTGAAAGGAAATGGAGACCTACAGGCTTGGTCAGCTTATGGCAGCCATTAGGATTTTTATAGACACCAGGATCACCATCTGAATAAACCCAAATCGCATTAAGGCACAGGAAGGAAATGGCCCCATTCAGAGCTCACTACACTTAGTCCTCAGTGCCCCTGGCTCTTGATCCTAACACACAGATCTCTTCCAGGGGGTAAATGGGATTAAAACATACCCTCCTTTAAGCAGAAGGGCATTGAAAGGTTGGCATCAACCTGCCAAGTGCCCTCTCTTCTCATAAGAGCCTTCCTATGCTTTCTGAGTACCAGCTGTAGAGTGCTAAAGGAGATGCCTTTAAGCCCCCTAAGCTGTAGAGTGCTAAAGGAGATGCCTCCCTTGTGCCCTGCTCCTCACCAACCCTAAATGTGCACTTTTAACAATTACTATTGGCAGCAACCCCCACCTCCCCATCTCTGAGGTTTGCAAATCTAAGAAAGACTTTCAAGTAGGGAAGCAGAAGCGGCAGCATTGATGGGTCTTTGGGTCTTGGAGCCACGAGCTAGCAACAGGGAACACCGTCTGCAGCCACCAGCTCCATCCACAGGCCTGGGCTTTCTCAGTGACTCACGCAACTCAAGCACAAGCAGGCTAAAGGCGTGTGGTGCTCCTTCCTCCTTCCTTGTCTTCCACTCTCCCTGAATTCCCATTCTCATACCAGGAGACCGAGCCCAGAACCGTTTGTGGTGAATAACTTATAAAACCACGGTACATAAATCTTTGTTATAAACCTGATCATAATGTAATCATAAATGTCACCTTAAATGCTCATTGAAATGATAAAGAACAATTGGTTTCTTTGTATGGTCTTGAGAGAATAAACTTTTGAACCTTTACAGGTGCTCTTTTTATTGAGACTCAATAGGAAAAAAAGCTACATGCAAAAAGCCTGCCTTCCTGCATGTAACATTGCTATCAGAGATACCAGGCATTGCCCGGCCGGGCGTGGCTCAGCGGTTGAGCATTGGCCTGGGATCCAAGAAATCGAGGTTCGATTCCCGGTCAGGGCACATGCCCGGGTTGTGGGCTCGGTCCCCAGCAGGGGACGTGCAGGAGGCAGCCGGTCAGTGACTCTCCATCTTTGATGTTTCTGTCTCTCCCTCTCCCTTCCTCTCTCTGAAATCAATAAAGATATATTTGAAAGAGAGAGATACTATGTATTAAGTCCTCTCAGCAAAATTTATCAAAGATACCGGCAAAAGGTGTATCTTACCTGTGAACACAGTTCTCCTTTTTAATAGCTGTAGCGAGCTTCCTCTGATGAGCTGACTCCAGGGAAGCCCAGGGCTGCTTCGCTCAGTTACAGCAGCTTCCACTGTGCTTGGCTGTCCAGTGCTGCCGTCCCCAGTTCCTCTTTCTTTTAGTATACGGCCCTTGCTTTTTATTCGTTTTATAGTTTGGTATTTTAGTATAAACTTTTATTTGTAGAAGTTAGGTGTAGTATAAATAACTATGAAAGCCCTGGCTGGCTGGCTGTGTTGGTTGGAGCATTGTCCCGTACACCAAAAACGGTTTCCGGTTCGATTCCACGTCAGGGCACATACTAGGTTTCGGGTTCCATCCCTGGTTGGGACAGGTACAGGAGGCAACTGATGGATATTCCTCTCTCTTTCTGTATCTCCTTTCCTCTCTCTCTAAAAAAAAAATCAGTAAAAACATATCCTTGGGTGAGAATTAAAAAAAGCAAAACTATGATAACCAAATGCTATAAAAATCATGTAAGGGCTTTTAAATGAGCACATAGAACTAACAAGAAAGGAAATGCCCACTTATGCCATTGCTTATGATATTTGCAAATGATATTTATTAATCTTTCTGTTCTTTGGCCATGTATGGATCAACCTCCTTAACCAAGAGTTAGCTGGGAGCGCACACATTTTGTATGGGCAGGTCCTGGCTTCGCTCTCTGGTGGCCTGGCAGCCCATGTGATAGCAATAGTTCAAGGCATTAATTATTCACTAGGGCTGGAATGACCCAGCAGACATACCCCAGAAGCAACGTACTGCATGTGGAAATACTTTCGAATCCTCGATCCTACATTTACTATCGATATTCTTTTTGTAATTTTAGAGTTGATTTTGAGTTTGGAGAACTGAAAAAAATTTGGTGGTCTACATAGGCAATTTGTCTATGTGGAAAGAATTTAAAGAACTGAACAACAGAATAAACAAATGAAGCGCACTTTGCATCTTTCCCTTGAGGACTGTTTCCTAATCCACGCATGCGACACATTTATTACAAACCCCCGCGGACATCCCGCCTATAATGGCTGATGATGATCTCATCTACGGAGTGTTCCAGAGGTCTGCAAAGTACTTCTCACATAGAACAGTCAGTGATAACTAATACCTTCTGCCCAATTCAACATTTTCCAAGAACTCAGCAGAGTTATTAAGTAATCTGTGGTTTAAGGATATGGCCTTTTCTTCTTTGTGCTTGTGACCATGTGGCCACTCAGGCATCACAAAGCCCTTCCATAAAGACAGATGACTCCTGAAATCTCTAGCACTAGGTGCCACAGCCCACTCAAAAGGCGAGAGCTGTGGCAGGTTTCCTGGGCCTGTCAAATGCACTCAACCCATCCAGGGGCTGCACTGAAGTGGAGAGAATCACACACACACACACACACACACACACACACACACGCTCACAGGCACTCGATTGCCGTACTCTGCTTTTATTTTCTTCATAGCTCTTATCCATATCTGCAATCATATCATAGATTTTATTGTCTCTCCCTCCATGAAGGCAGAGAATTTTGGCTTTTTTCCTACTGTATCTCCAGCACTTGGAGCAGCGTCTGGTACTCAATAAATATTTGTTGCAAGAATAAAATAATCTTTTGCAGGAGGGAACAAAATTAACAGAACAGGAAAGACCAGTCAGAAAGAATTAACCCACAAATGATATGTCAGATTCCCCAAAATTAATTTGTTTTAAATTACTAGTGATTTGTTATACAGCCAACACTGTATACATAACACCAGACATCTACTTTGCAGTATTTAAAGGTATTACTTTCATATGAAGTAGAAAAAACAAACAAACATACCCATTGTCAAAAATATTGGCAATGTACTTAATGCTATTCCAAATTCCATCATAGTTTAAATGGAGAAAACTCACACTAGAATTTCTACCTGTTGGTAATTTTCCTTCGTGAAACTGCTCAATGCTTCAGTGTTATGATTGGTTCACCATCCAGATTACTAGAAGATTTAACTCTGGTTTGTTTCTCTACTCAGCAAACATTTCAGCAATTCAATACTTATTACATACCAGGCATGTTGGGAAGATAAAAGAAGATTCTTGACCTTATAGTCTATTGACAAAAGAGCTCACAGTTGGATAAAACACTAACTAAAAATTAGTTTTTTCTTGTGGAAGAGAAGGAGCCTTTAAATTGACCTCTGATGTATTTGCCACTTATCTTCAGTGGGCAGGTGCATGAGAGTAGCTTTCAGAACAATTTAGAACTCTGGGGAAGTAGCGAGTATGAATTTTCTTGGAATTCTGAATGACCCTCAGAGTTCAGAAACTGTTAGATAATAATAGCTAAACAATCACAGAAAAATAAAGATGCTATTTTCTTTATGCAGTTTAAGTATTTAAAATTGAATCCCAATTTTGTGAAGATATATATAGAGAGATATAGTATCTATATCTAGATGATAGATGATAGATAGATAGATAGATAGATAATTGGAGACCTATATACACTACACAGTTATCTGTGGTTATCTGAAGTTGAAAGGATAAGAGCTAATTTTTATTTTAATTTATATAATCTTATCTCTTTTCCAAAATTTCTACAATTAACATGTTTAACATTCACAATGAGAAAAATAAAGATTAATTTTAAAATATTCCTTTAAATCTATCAATTAAGTATGAAGCTATTTCTATTGCTGTGCAAATTATTGCAGTTCAATCTAACAGATCAAGTCCATGTTCAGTGTGTCTAGTTCTTGTGATAATTAACATTGTACTTAATGTAGGAAATAGAGCAGTAAAGTAAAAAGTTCATTATTGTATTTGGTTTCTGTGGCATCTCCTCAAGTTTTCTTCTCCTGAGCTTTTCCATTTTCTTCTTAGACTGGCTACGGTTTCCTCCATAACACTTTCCCAGCAGTTTGCATGAGAGAGAAGAAATATTATGTGAGTGTTCCAGGGACTAAAGCCTGTTATTCACGTAATGAACTTACTTCTTTGGGATATTTTCCTGTGAACAACAGGACCCCTGATATTCCTGCTAGTACCCATAACAGAAAAATATCCATTTGCCAATCATAATACGTAAGGGGACGAATTACTTCTTGGAAAACAGTAACTGCTAACATCTACTACGGGTATCCCTGTGGCCCCATGCAAGCACCCCATGGTTCCCATTCCCATAGGCTTGGTCCTCTCGCCCTCCTCACCCTTCCAGAGGGAATGGTGACCAAGGGGCGTGTGCCCAGTGGTTTAGTTACATGACTGTACATTAATGTCTACATCATACTCTATGATCTCAATATTATTATCCTTAGTTTAAGGACAGGAAAATATTTGGGGTCAGGTTAAGTTACTTGCCCAAAGATACATATCTACTAACCCAGGACTTTTTGACTCCAGAGCCCAATTAAGCACACAGACCCAGTCTGGCTGAGAACTGAGCAGGGTCACAGGAAGTTCACTTCCTTTCACGTGGTTCCCAGCGTAAGAAGACGGCCGCACCAAATCAGTAAATAACAGTAATTGCATTAAATGTAATGTTTTATTAAATCTATATTATAAAAATTAACATATGGAAGTATTATCTATCTTTTAAATTATTGTGTACCAAATATTTTTTTGTCATTATGAGGAACCTCTAGGTTTATACTTGTTTAAAAATTTATTTAACTTACAGGTACTATAATAAATTTTCAGAAGACAGAAAAAAAGGAAGTCTTTTTTAGAATCAGAAACAAGACTTTTCAAAGAAGAAGGAAGCACTACAATGCAGGGAAGACAGAGTAACTCGATACAAATTAGGACTTCACATAGATTTTAAGTCAGGGATGTGGAAGGTGTCTTTCCAATTCTTCTAGATTGAGTACTTATTTTATTAGTTTGATTTTTATTGAAAAACATAATTTACTGTATCTTGTGTTAGGTATCCTGGCTCAAGTAATTATGGCTAGAGAAAACTATCAAATACCCAGACAGACCGACCCAGTTCACATGAAAACACACCCTTTCTCAGGTATTTTGTACCCTGTAAAGTTTGATGGAGACACACAGCACTATCAATCTAGGGATAGCAATACTGGGGCTGAGTGACCCAAACATTGTGCCTTTTTGATCATGAGAGCAGCTACACAGAGAGGAGACAGTTGGCGGGATGGTGAATGCTCTCTATAGATATAGACGAGTCCGCTGGCAGAGCTGACTGCGCAGCCATCTGAAATCTTCTCATCTGGGCTACTTCCTAATGAACTAAACCACTGCTACAGATAATTCAGATATCAGTGATGTACTCAGATCATGATTATCTCCTGGGATAAAGAAAAAAGCAATATCCTTTTTTTTTTTTAATCTGGTAGTAGTTTTTATAAAACAGCACTCTAGATGAAACTTGAACAGTGTTAGTAGTTTCAGTAAAGCACGTCCTCGTGTGGTTTACATATACTTGTGTCAGAACAAACTTAGTTACAAGCAGTGGCATAAGGACCACCGCCAGTCCAAGACTGGCCTTTAATGCAGGAACCTAGGATTTTATTGCAGCTCTCAAATTTAACCAAAACCTGTCCTGCTGCGCTTCATCCGTGGGCCACTCCAGGTAGGTCCTGGTGTTCATTATCTTCCGCAGCTTACAGAAACGCTGGGGGATGGCCTTCTTCTCAATGGGCTCCAGCAAGACCAGAACGGCAGAATCATTGTTTTCATCGAAGAGACGAAAATGGGAGAAGTCCAGTTCGTACTTGCACCACTCGCTCTTCACAAAGTTCTCGGAAAGCACGAAGATGGTTTTGTGGCTCTTTTCGATGGAGTCAATGATATTGTCAATAATCCATTTGCCAGGAATAAAGTCCCGCTTATGAAGACACAACTTAAAGGGAGGGTTGAAGTGCTCCAGCTCCTGGACCATCAGGTTCTCCACCCAGTGGGAATCCTGTTCACTGTAAGACACAAAGGCGTCGAAACAGAAGTCCCTCTGGGGGGCTCTCCTGGGCTTCCTTTTGGCCTGGAGCCAGGCCCACATCATTTTCATGTACCACAGGCCATGGAGATGGTGGCAGAGAGCCCCTGCAATCAGGATCAACAGGAAAAGGGCACAGCACACGGCAGACACCAGAGCCACCCTGTGGCACTCAGAAACCGAGAGACGAGTGTCCTGAACCCGCTGGTTCCGCACGTGCGGTGGAGAATCACACAGGTACTTTTCTGGCCAGTCGATCAGGACCTGGGCCAGTGCTTGCTCCTCCTGAGTGAAAGACAGGAATTCACAGGAGCAGATGAAATTGTTGCTGCCAGCTTCCAAAGTCTTCAGTTTTTTAAAAGAACCAAGTTGCTCCTTAGAGAAAGTATTTATTGTATTTCTGCTGATTCTCATGACTAGTAACATGGGTAAGGAGGAGGCATCTGGTAGAGTCTTCAACTTATTTCCGGAAATATAAAGTTCTCTGAGTTGTGGCATAGTCAAAGAAAACGAGTTAAGGCTGTTATTGCTAACATCTAAAATTTCCAGTGTCTGAGGAATGCATTCGGTTAGACTCTGTATTCTTGTGCTGGATAAGTTCAAATATTTCATCTTTTCTGGCCACCGACAAGTTTGAGATATAGGATGGAAATTATTCTTACTGATATCAAGGTTAGTCAGACTTTTCAGAGTAAGCAAAGTTTCTCCCGTTTTTTCTAATGATGTCAAATGATTCTGCCTTAAAATTAAGGTTTGTAGGGAGGGCCAGGCATACTCACAGGCTGAGTTTTTCAATAAGTTTTCAACCATCAAATTGCCACTGAGATCCAAATATTCTAGTGATTTCAAATGTTGTGAAAGTAAACAGGGAACCAGAAAAACCTTACTGTTTTCTATTGTGATTCTTTTGACTCTTCCTAAAAATGAATATATACTTCTCAGATCATAAAATGAGTAAAAATGTGGAATATATAGCCTCCGTACTATTAATGTCTCTATGTTACTTAGATCTGTGTCCATAGCAGATGTATCAAAATCACCAATTCCGTTAAGGGTACAGTGATCGAACTCCACAGCTATCATTCCAGAAACATATTTCAACAGTTTCACTATTTCATTAAAACTTTCATCAGTGACTTCCACATTTCTAAATGTAAACTTTTTAATTGTCTTGGTCTCACTGATGGATACTTTTGAAAAACGGAAAGTGTCCAAATGAGTATCTCTCAGTTCCAAATGTTCCAAGGAACTTAAAAGATCTCCGAAAATCTCCAGCAGGAAAACAGGCTGTTTCATATGAAGGATCAGGTGGCTGATGTTCTGAATCGACTTCAAACTCTTTGGCCCATATTTCTGGAGACTGGAAGCATCAATCTCAAGTTCCTCAAGAAAAGTTAGCCCAGCAAAATCCTTTTCCTGAATTTCAGTGAAGTTGTAACTATTTCCTACTCTCAGGATTCGCAAGTTGGCGAGATGAGAAAAAAGAGATGTTCTCCCAAGTGTTTTATAAGGATTTCCCAGTAAGTTTAAGAATTTCAAGGAAGCAAGGGGCCTGAACCAGGAGGCTGACAAATTAGATAGGCGGTTATAGGATAAGTCCAAATGTTCAAGACTCCCCAGGGAGATAAAAGAATCTTCCTCTATAGTGTCAATTTTATTGGATCCCAGCCTCAGAACCTTGAGGTTCACATACATCCGCAGGTCGCTGCTGCTGACATAGGTGATCTTGTTGTTGGACAGGACGAGGCTTTTCACAGTTGCCGTGAGACCTGAGGGGATGGTGATTAAAGATCTCGAGTGGCCATCGCAGACACCGGTGGAGTCACAATTCAGAGAAGAAGCCTGATCAGGGGTCCCCTCCTTGAACAGGCTGATTACAGCCCCCAAGACCCACACTATCCACAAAGCATGTGACATCGTTCCGTAATCCAACCTACAAATAAAAGAGGCTCAAGTGAGTGATTGTGTTTGACAGCATATTGTAATTCCAGTTCTTGAGGAACATTTTGTAAAGTGTAACACACACATGCACACACACAGAGCTACCAGGAAATAGCCAAGAGGCAAATGGAATGTATGAATAAAAATTAACTTTTAGTTAAAAATTAATTAATAGTGTAAGGACAAAAAATTAATTCCCGGACACATTCAGCAACACTAACAAAGGAACACTGCCACTGTGCAATGACGTAAAAGCACTATGCCATCTGGGAGCACAGAGCAGGGCTCAATCCACATGGGTTGAAAGAATGGGTAAGGGAATGAATGGAAGAACAAATGAGCCAGCAGCTTAAGAAACCCTAGTACACTGCTGGTGGGAATGCAGACTGGGGCAGCCACGATGGAAAACAGTGTGGAGTTTCCTCAAAAAATTAAAAATGGAGCTGCCCTCTGACCCAGTGATTCCACTCCTAGGAACAGATCCTAAGAATCCTGAAACATTAATCAGAAAGAGCTTATGCACCCCTATGTTCATAGCAGCACAGTTTACAATAGCTAAAATCTGGAAACAGCCCAAGTGCCCATCAATAGATGAGTGGATTAAAAAGCTGTGGGACATTTACACCCTGGAATACTATGCAGCCATAAAGAAGAAGGATCTCTTACCCTTTGGGACAGTATGGATGGACCTGGAGAAAATTATGCTAAGTGAAATAAGCCAGGCAGAGAAAGACAAACATCACATGACCTCACTTATATGTGGAATCTAAAGAACTTAATAAACTGATGAACAGAATAGATTCAATGACATGGAAGCATAGAGGAGACTGACGAATGTCAGAGGGATGGAGGAGGGCGGGGGGTGGAGGGGGAGAGAGTAACTAAAGAATTTATGTGCATATATGCACAACCCAAGGACATGGACAATGGTGGGGAGAGGGACT